GAATAATCTTTTTAAATCATTTGAATAATAATCAGTAATTTTATAGAAGAAACACTACAAATTGGATTTTATGCATTTTCTCCTTCTCTGAGCCTCCCATTGCTGCAAGATTGGACCTAGCCTCCCACTAACAACAAAACGTTCCCCCTTATGGTGGCTACAGTACTAGAGGACTAGTAAGAGCGAACATAATGCGTATTTAGGTTCACTTTGCAGATCTAGCTAATAAAGGATAGTAACCTAAAATCCCAGAACACTGCTATAGCCCGTGTTGATGGTGGGCACATTTCGGATATAAATTTGAAAACTTTAGAGCATCTTAGTTAGCCAGTAAAACAGCAAGGCGTCCTGGTATTTGTGGGTTTGCAGCTGCCTGGCACTGACTGTATTTGTCCTATTGTGGAGTGGTCAGAGATAATGTCATGCAGATTTAAAAATGTTTTTTATTCCCCTATAACAGTCTTCTTCAGACCACAGGCCCAAACCACAGGTCAGAAATCAAGGCAGGGCTCAGAGTAAGTGTGCAGCTGGCATAGAGGCTCCCTGCACTCTGCGGAGCCAGTTCTTCTCGTGATTGAGCTGTTGAAGGACTTAGGAGCCAACTCCCATCTGACAAAGGAGCCAACTCTACCAGAAAGAAGGCTACACATGATAGCTCGTCTTAGGTACTTTCTGGTTCTAATTAAGCGGATTTTTCACTATTTTGTCAGCGACTGAAATAAGTCCTCTAGCCTTGCCTCTTGAATTCATTTTCTCTATAGTGCCACTCACAAGATCCTCAAGTGCATGTGAATTATTTTTTCGAGAAAAGTCTTCTTACAAAGAAAGCGTAGGGAAAACATTTGTGTCATAGAGTTATCTGGATTCATGAATATGTTAAGGTAAACAATGTTCCAGGCCCAGGTCTTGGAATATAGAAGGCAATCAAATATTGGAGCAAAAATAGTTTGTTCACTACCCTTCTGCTCTTACTTTTCTTCCATATCCCAACATAATCCTATTTTCCAAATCTTTAATGTTGAGAGTATTATAGATGTTCCCCCTTTATTTTCTCCCATTGGCCCCTCCACCCAGCTCCTGCCCTGCCCTGCTCCAGGCCTCCACCACCCTATTGTCTGTGTCCATAGGCAATGCATATATGCATATAAGTTCTTTGGTTAAACTCTTCCCATTCCATTGCCCTACCCCCTTCCCTCTGAGATTCAGCAGTCTTTTCCATGTTTCCGTGTCTCTGGTTCTATTTTATTCATCAGTTTATTTTGTTCATTAGATTCCACATATAAGTGAGATAATGTGATACTTGTCTTTCTCTGCTTGGCTTATTTTGCTTAGCATAATCATCTCCAGGTCTCTCTATACTGTCTCAAAGGGTAATAGATCCTTCTTTTTTTTTTTTTTTATATAGCTGCATAGTATTCCATTGTGCAAATATACCACAGCTTTTTTATCCACTCATCTGCTGATGGGCACTTGGGCTGGTTTCAGATCTTAGCTATTATAAATAATGCTGCTATGAACATAGGGGTGCACATATTCTTTCTGGTTTGTGTTTCAGGTTCTTAAGATATATTCCTAGAAGTAGAATTACTGGTTCAAATGGCAATTTCATTTTTAATTTTTTGAGGAAACTTCACACAATTTTACATAGTGGCTGACCAGTCTGCATTCCTACCAGCAGTATACTAGGGTTCCTTTTTCTCTACATCATCACCAGCACTTGCTTATTGATTTGTTGATGACGGCCGTTCTGACAGGTGTGAGGGGATACCTCATTATTGTTTTAATTTGCATCTCTCTGATGATTAGTGACGCTGAGCATTTTTTCACATGTTTCTTGGCCATTTGCATGTCCTCTTTGGAGAAGTGTCATTCAGGTACTCTGTTCATTTTTTAATTGCATTGTTTGTCTTTATTTTGTTCAGTTGAAAAACAAAACAAAACAAAACTAGACCACCAACTTACACTATCCATAAGAATCAACTTAAAATGGACAAAAGACTTAAATATAAGTTATGAAACCATAAAAAATTCTAGAAGAAACCATAGGCAGCAAAATATCAGACATCTTATGTAGCAGAATTTTCACTGATACATTGCCTAGGGCAAGAGAAACAAAGAAAAAAATGAACAAATGGGACTACATCAAACTAAAAAGCTTCTGCACAGCAAAAGAAACCAGCATCAAAATGAAAAAGAAATCCACTGTATGGGAGAACATATTTTCCAATGATACATCTGATAAGGGGTTAATTTCCATACTACATAATTCTATTTTTTATTAGCTCTTCATATGTAAAATAAACATACCACTTTATTGCCTATTAAACAATCAATCAAAAATGAATAATAAAACCACAGACCTGAATTCTCCATGTTATTAGTTGACATTTTGGTCTGGATAATTCTTTGTTGTATGGCATTTTAGTATGTTTAGCAGCATCCCTGGCCTGTACCCACTTGTTATGACATCCAAAAATATCTCCAGACATTAGCAAATGTCCCCCGTGGGAGCAAAATAGCCCTTGATTATAAACTACTGCTTTAGACCAACTGGATTCATCATGCGCATCCCCTTTTGCCTCTCCCTGCTCTCTGCTTTTGGAAGAAAAAAAAAAACAAATAATTAAAGAAACAAGCAAACAAACAGCAGGCATTTGATTAAAACAGTAATAGTCTAAAATCAATTTTTAAAAATAGCCCTGGCTCGTTTGGCTCAGCCGTTAGAGCATTGGCCCACGGATCAAAGAGTCATGGGTTCGATTCTGGTCAAGGACATGTACCTTGGTTGCGGTTCAGTCCCCAACCCTGGTTGGGGTGGTATGGGCGTCAGCCAGTCGATGTGTCTTCTCACATCGATGGAAAAATATCCTCGAGTGAGGATTTAAAAAAATAAAAATAAAACAGTAATAGTACTTGCCAGATAGTACTGTCTTTCCAGGGGATCCCCTTCACAATGTGACTGACACTCTGGAGCCCAGTTTTCCATGTGAATGCTGTGCCCTGGGCTTGGGCTACCCTGGGGCCCCAGAGGATGACTTGAGACTAGGACACAGGCAGCCCAGCTCTTTCCACCTTCCACCCCGAGTCCTGGGCAGTGAGAAAAGGTGGAATATCACATTTCCCAACAGCAGGAAAACTCCACTATGCTTAGCATGCTCTGTGAAAAATGGCAGGAAATCATTTCCAAAAATATAGATGAGAATTACAAGGGTCTTCTGGATAATTTTCAGTTTACCAGTTAGTATCCTTTAAACAGAATGACTCATTCCCTGAATATGCCATTTATTTGAGAGAGTGGTTACTGTCTCAATAATAATTGTTCTCCTATGATATTTTGGCAACCCATGGATATAAATTCTGGTTTTGGAATGGGATAGTTCATTGATTGACATTTGTTCCAGGATAAATTACCATCTGATAAAGTCCACAGTTCCAAATCCCATCAGTAGTTTCAGATACAGCTGTTTGCAATTATCCTATCATTTGCTAGTTATTTCTCCTGATGGTTCACAGCTCTCCATACGCTCTGTATGTGTTAAAAGCCAATGGCCTTCTCCTAAGCTCAAATATTCCTCCTGTTAACTAGTCCCATTCCTGGCACCCACATAAGCCTCTTTAATACCTTAAGGTTCTGAGTCAGTGGTTTAGTTAACAGTCAAACAGTGCTCAATTTTGTGTAATCTACAACTCTGAGGTAGTAGGACATCTTCTTCTTCTCTCTCTTTTTGTTAATCTTCACCGGAGGGATGGGGGAGAGAGAGAGAAACATCAATGTGAGAAACATTGATCAGTTGCCTCCCACAGGCACCCCAACTGGAAACAGAACCTGCAACCTAAGTATGTGCCCTGACTGGGAATCGAACCTATAACTTTGTGGCATTCGGGAAGATGCTGCAACCGAGCCAGTTGGCCAGGTGGGCATCTTTTTTTTTTTGATACTGAATGTGTCATCTACCTTATCATTCCCCCAACTATCTACAGATGGTGGGGTTATAAAGATTTCCAAAACTACATAGGTGTGGTGCAAGATTATCATTTTTGTTATTCATTACTAAAAGTCCAGGTTTTGTTATATGAGATAGCAGCCAGGTCAAGACCCAGTGCCTCGATCTTATCTTCCCTCCACAAATCCTTTCTTCCCTATTTATTTATTTATTTGGTATGTGCCCTTAGCGGGAACTGAACCCCAGGACTCTCTGGTCCTCAGGCCGATGCTCCAACCACTGAGCCAAACTGGCCAGGGCTTTTCCTCCATTTTTAACAGTGCTGCATGCAAAAAGCCTTTGAACTGTATCCATGCTGTCTTTCTCCGCTGCGCACACCCTGAGGTTTATCCACAGGGAAGCAGTCATTTCACACTGGTGAAATCCAGATGAGGCCAGTGCCTTAAACTATTTGGGCCTCAGTTTCCTCATGTGTAAAATGAAGACAACAATAGCATCTATCGCAAAGGATCATTGTGAAAATGAAAAGAGTTAATATATGTAAAGTGCTTAGATTAATACAATGTATATAGTAAGTGCCCAATAAGTAAGTGTGTGCTATTATTATCTTGAGTACCCCTTGGTATGAGGTAAGAAGTAGTCACGGCACCATCTCTGCTGCTCAGTGTTTCTTACCTTTGGAAAGAGGCCTCTGGCGGTTGAATTGCAATGAGCTGTGCTTCTCTAAAGAAAGTGCCAGTCTCTTCATGGTTCAGGAGGAAAGTCCTTTCTCTGTGTTGTGGCCAATACGACAGAAATTCTGAGAATATTTTCTAGAACTTTTTGCCTGATGAGTACAAATTGCAGTAAATGTAGCAGAAGTTGAAAACATTAACTATAGCAATGATGCATGAAACAATCTTCAAAAAATAAACCATGAGAAAATGATGTTGCAATAAATTTAAACACAGAAAGTCTCTGTATTTGAATTGTCATATCACACAGTAATACTGTGGAGATACTTTTTGGAAAAACATAATTATTAGCATAAATTATCTTAAAATACTCAGTGGGGAAAAAAAAGGCTCTGTCATGAGTGGCACCCGCAGAGGGACTTGGTCGAGCTACAGGCAGAATCGACATCAAGAGATTTGGGGAGCATACTTTTTTGGTACCTGGGTGGCTAGTGATCGTTGGTCCTGGCACCTGCAAAAAAAAAAAAAAATCAGTGGAAAACTTAGTGTACTATGAGGAAGAAACAGTGTATAACACTTACACTAGTATTTGCAGAACAGTTTTCCATAAGTAAAGTTACTTTGTACTCTAGATAGAGAACAGAATGCTGTCATCTTCTTAGTCTAACACTGTTTCACTTTGGTTTTGGGAGAGCTGAAAAACTGCATCAAAAGACAGAAAAATTAATTTTTTTTATTGTCATTTTTAATCCTCACCTGAGGATATTTTCCCATTGATTTTTAGAGAGAGTGGAAGGAGAATGGGGAGGGGGGAGAGAGAGACATTGATGTGAGAGAGATACATCGATTGGTTGCCTCCCGCACGTGCCCCACTGCAACTCAGGTAAGAGCCCTTGACAGGGAATCAAACCTGAGACCCTTTGGTGCGTGGGCCAATGCTCTCACCAATGAGCTGCACCAGCCAGGGCAGACAACGGAATGTTTTAAGGCAGAGACAAACAGAGCACAGTGCTAAATGGGGGTAGAGAAAGTCAGGAACAGACGTGGTATAAGGCATAGTAAGATTAATGAATATGAGCTGCAAATTTGTCTGAACTTCCTAGTGGCCAAAATAAAAGGAGACAGTACAAACAAGATCCTGCCTGGTCTATATAATGAATGGACCACTGAGTTCTTAAGAGAAGCAAAGAGTTTCCTGGTCCTGGAGTCTAATAAAAATTTCTCCTGCAGGTCTGCACAAAGGAGGTACTGTGGATAATGTGGTGGCCGAGCTGCATAAACATGATTGCATTAGAAGACTCTTTATCGTGTCCCTCAGAGAGGCCAGTGGCAGGACACCATCTCACTTCAGAAGAAGCAACTCAGTAAGAGATCAAAGTAAGGTGGTCCAGGGTGATAGGACACTCTGACTAGGTGACCTGAGCATTACTTCTTGCAGCTGAATTCTGGAGAATCCCGGTGGTGAGATGAAAACTGTACTGAACTAGGAGCGGAAGACATACACTTCTGTCCCGGTTCTGCCTCTGAGTGGAGGTGGAACCATGGGTACAGCCACGCCTGTCCCAGGTGGGCTCCCCAGAAGCCAACTCTGAGTCATGTATTCAGGGACAAGTGACATATTACGATGGTGCTCTTTGAATAAGGCCAGGAAGGCGTTGGAGGAGCAGGATAGGAAAAGGGCAGGAGCCTAGTGAGGATGAAATTTTAGAAGTTCCTGCCTCAGCCTGATCCCCAGGAATCTGTGGAGTAAATCTCACTGCAGAGTGTGCCTGGAGGCAAAGCCCCTGAAGGTTACACCCTTATAGCAGGTAGTTCGTGGCTGTCCTGGGTTGGGTTGGGGGCTTGGTAGTGAGGAAACTAATCAATTTCTTCAGGCTCTCTGTAAAAGGCACAGTATCTAGGGCCCAGGAGCAGTTCTCAAAAGTCCCAAAGGCAAAATGTTTACTACGAAGCAAAATTAAATCCCTCCATGGGGCACCAGATGGGTCTGCCCCGACTTCTCTTCTCTGGGACTGAGGACTTCGTCTATAACAAAAAGTGGTAAGATTTGATGATCTCTTAAGTAGCATGATTATGTGATTATAAATTCTGTGGATCTAAGATTACTTTTTAGCCCTTTTGAGAATACTATTAAAGTTGTAGTATAAACGATGTAATTTAAACAAAATGAAAAATAATGATAGTCTAGTGGAAAAGCAAAGGTGATCCGTGAACTGGCCAGATTGCTGCTGATCGACAGGGGCAGGCGACCTTGTCTCTCCTGGTGGACGCACAAGGAAAGAGTGTTCCACACGGGAAGACACAGGCTGTGACACGTCAAGAGCTGAGCACCTAGAATGTGGCACTTCGTAAACGGGGTTGAAAGCTGGTTCTGGAATGAATGCTAAGTGACAGTGACTCAGGCTTGGTGACCACTGTGGCGCCTGTTCAGACCAACTGATGGTTTTTCTTTCTTGCCTAGAAAAGGGTAGACCTAGTTTCTGTAGGAATTTGTAATTTCTATCAGCATATACTAAGCCTGCCTGGAGACGTGGGACCTTGGAGCCCTTGACACCCATCCACCCATCCTCCACTGGGCATCCTCTCCGGCCTTCTTCCGTGCAGCACCGGAGGGTGGGGGGAGGTGAGAAAGCTTGTCTGCACTTAACTCATGTTCCTTTAGTCTGGGACAAACTTATTTGTGAGTCCCTACTTAACTCCTGGTCAGAAATACAGGTTATATGCCTGTGGACAAGTCACTTCACTGAGCTTCAGTTTTCTTAGGTGTTGAAGAAGATAACATGGTGTGTCATCTCATATTCTTGTGGGCACTAACTGGAATATTGCCTATACACGACTTAAGACACACTTAGCCAATATTATGATAGTCAATATTGTCATATCAGGTGGGGGTAGTGTTTTGAGATCAAAGTATACTGGGATATGTTATCTCCGACAGATGAAAACTGTAATAATAAACACACAAGCAAAAACATTTTTATTAAAAATTGGTGTATTTTGCCCAGCCAGTGTGGCTCAGTGGTTGAGCATCAACCCATGCGCCAAGAGGTTACCAGTTCAATTCCTGGCCAGGGCACATGCCCAGGTTGTGGGCCAAATCCCCAGTGGGGGCATGCAGGAGGCACCCAATCGATGTTCTCTCATCAACGTTTCTATCTCTCTCTCTCCCTGCTTCTCTCTCTAAAATCAATTTAAAAAAATTTTTGGTGTGTTTCACTTGACCTAACTACTGTGAGATGTCTCTTTACTAGATAGATTGCAAGCTTCTTTTAGTGAATGCCTTGTATAGCTATCCTTTTTACAACAGCTGATCAAGATAAAACCACAAAGTAAAATAAATGGCTTACATAAAGTACCATGGAAAGCTTAAAGTCAATATATTAGTTACACTAAATATAAACAGACTGAATGCCTTTATTGAAAGATAGAGACAATAAGGAACAAAATGTATTACCAGTTATTTACAAGTAACAAACAACTCCAAGTGATCAAGCAGCTTTGAAAAATAAAGAATGAAGACACCAGGTACATGCGTACGAAAGGAGAGCATGAGCGACACTATTAATGTCAGACAAGGTAAGTTAACAGACATGAACAGCATAAGACAAGACATGCATAATGTTAAGAGGTGCAGTTTTTGAACATATATGATAAAAAAATCCATGCACCCCAAACCGATGGGAGGTAAATATGCAAAACAAAATAAAATATAAAAAATTAAAAAAAATTAAACTTGTAGTGGGATATATTTTTATTTCATTTCAGAACTGATGCATCTAGTTGTCAAAAATTTCTAAGGACATAGAAGCTTTGAATTATGCCATCACACACACACACACACACACACACACACACACATTTCAATTTAATAGACAGTATTGCATCCAATGATTTGAGAATACATGTCTGTTTATATCAGTGATTCTCAAGGTTTTAGGTCTCCTTTATATTCTTAAATATTATTACAGTCCCCAAATAGCTTTTGCATATAAGAGTTATAACATGCTGGTTATATACAGGTATATACAGGTATATATTAGAACATGTTGGAAATAATATCTCTATATTTACCATATTAATAATTAAAACTGATAATTTATTCACTAATTTATTTTTAAGTGGTAATAGTCATTACATATTAATAAAATATTTTTTGAAAAATAAATTTTCAAAAACAAAAATATAGTAAAGTGACAATGTTTTAATTTTCTAAATCTTTTTAATGTCTGGTGTAGTAAAAGAAAAATTTTCTCATATTCTGCCTCTGCATTGAACCTGTAATATATTGTTTTTAGGAAAATCCAGCCTCAATCATATAGCCTCATATGTAGTTAGAAGGGAACAGTGTTTTAATTGTGGATATTCTTCTTTAATACTACCTCAAAACTTGACAAGCAAGGTGTTCTTAAATGTTAGTTGCAATGTGGAATCTGTAACTATATCAATGAACCTTTCATACTCAATTACACTAAAATCCATGCTCTCTCATGCATTTTGAAGGTATCTTTTATCCATGTATGGTTTTGCAACATCATGCATTGATAATCTGGAAAATATTGCTTTGTTAAGATAACAGATCTTCCCAATGGTGACAAAATCATTTTACATTATCAGAAAACTAGATTCATCAATATCATTACCGATTTCATTAGAAAAATCTTCAAGCATTAGGAAGCGGTCAAATTTAAGGTATTTTTTCAAAATTCTACTTTAAAAAATATATTTTTTTTCTATAGACTGTTAGAGAGAGAGGAAGAAGGGAGGGAGAGAGAGAGTGAGAAACATCAATTTGAGAGTGAACATGGATCGGCTGCCTCCTGCACACCCCCTACTAGGGATTGAGCCCACAACCCGGCATGTGCCCTGACTGGGAATTGAATCAGCAACCTTTCAGTGTTCAGGACAATAGCCCAAACAACTGAGCCACACTGGCCAGGGCCCAAAATTCTACTTTTGTTTAAAAGTTGTATTTTATGTTTAGCTAAAACATTGTCAATTATTTTCCTGTGTGTGTGTGTGTGTGTGTGTGTATCAGTTCAGCTCCCAACTCAGTCACTCAAGTGATATTCCTCCAGATAACCATCTTACCTTTACAAGTAGCAGAAGTACTTGTTGCACATTTTATCACACAGAATATAAAAAGATATGCTCAAGGGTTAAGTTTTACTTTTATTTTTTAAAATTTATCTTTATTGTTGAAAGTATTATAGATGTCTCCCCCTTTTTCCCCCATTGACCCCCTCCTCCCCACTCCCACCCCCTACCTGCCTTCCCCACACTATTGTCTGTGTTCATTGGTTATGCAAATATGCATATAAGTTCTTTGGTTTATCTCTTCCTGCACCCCCACTTCCCTCTGATGTTCATCTGTCTAACAACCAATTTGTACTTCTTAACCCCTTCACCTTTTTTGCCCATCTCCCAACCCCCTCCCATCTGGCAATCATCAAAAAATTCTCTGCATTTATGAGTCTGTTTCTGTTCTGCTTGTTCATTTGGTTTATAGATTCAATTA